TCCAATATGGCACTGATTGGGACTGATGATCAGTGTAGATGTCTGCTCTGAGGTATGCCGATTACCGGCTCTCCTCATGAGTTGTCAGTGGGAGAAGAGGTCTGCCAATAACCGGCATTTCATATTTACTTGTGATCAGCTGTGATTGGACACAGCTGATCACATGACAGAGCTGACATAATCTGCTCTTTACAGTGAACAGTGATGTGCTGTGTCCCAGGGACACAGTGCACTGCTGAGAGTGGGAGGTTGTCACATGACGTCCTCCCAGAACAAGATAACCCCCGCCCTCCGGTCATTATCTTATATGTCGGGCAGGAGGCGGTTAAGGAGATTTCAATGTACTTCCTGTTTTGTAAAACAAAGGCTATTTTTTTCATGTTGGATAGGGTAAGGGAGGGTTATTACCCCTATCAGTTTTTTGCCATCTGTGTGACTTTGGGAAGATTTCCCATCTCTTCTGTCCAAAACAGGAAGTGAGAGGAAATCCCTCAAAAGTAAGGAAATTATTGATGTTCACCAGAACTAGTGCCTCCATTAGATGATTTTCCTCCATTACTATTCTAGAGGAAACTCAGAATTTAGCCCTTTTTTTTTTTTTTTTTTTTTTTTTTTAAACTAGGTGATCATGGTAAACAGAACAAATCAGGAGACTATCCCCTAATGGGAGTGGCACAGGCCACTTAAAGAACCTGACAGGTGTTCTAATTTTTCTCACCTCTATCCAAACTTTTTGCCTATACAATCTGATTGTACAATCTCCTTCTAGGCTAGGTTCACACCTATGCAGGTTGCGTTTGAGGTGTTTCTGTATTGCATGATGCGTTTTTGCTTTTTTTTTTTTTTTTTGCTAGACATGCTTTTCTGCAGCGTTCCCATTGAAGTCTATAAAAACAAAAATGCAACGTTTTGCATTAAAAAAAAAAGTCCCTGACCCTTTCCAAATAATGCGCTGGGTGAAAACGCAGACATGTGAACATTTCCCATAGGAAATCATGTTAAATGGACTGTACTGCGTTTCTGCAAAATGCTGCAGAAAAGCTTAGTTGTGAACCTAGGGTTAGATCTACCAACCAGTGTGTAGTGTAAAGAGCGTGCCTGATTGGATACAAATTTGATAAATCAGGTAGGTGTTCATAGTACATAGTTTTGGTAAATCTAAAGTTGGTTATATGGTCAAATTGTAATATGTATGGTAACCCTTTGGCTGCATTTGCAGCTGTGCAATGCGACAGCATAGGGTAGCCCATTCACATGCGTTTCTGCCCACATTCCCAGAATGCTTAGGTGTGAGTGCAGCTGTAGATCAAGTTCACATGGGCAGATTGGCACAGTAAAAATCAGTCTTGGGAGCATTGCCCATATCTGTTGTTTACCTTCCTGCCAAATGGGGTAGTTAAGACTAACGTGTTTTTGTAGCTTTACGACATGATAGTTTCAGTTGAGCAGGTGTTACACCTGCCAGACGCATCCATTAAAGTCAGACCATGTTGCAACCATGTATCAAATGCAGCTATGGAGGTTGCAACATTGTATGTCGTAAAATGAACTTTGGCATCAAACCAACTATAAATTGTGATCTGAAAAGCGATTCACTGCGGTTTGCTTTTCAGAACCTACCATCTGTGTGAAAGAAGCCATAGACCTCTATCAGCAGAGCAGGTGTTGCCAGCGCATGATTTCCTCTGTCCCTGTTCTGGTGACAGCTCAGGATTTTGGATTTTCCCTCACTTTCCTTTCCTGTGACAGTTCCAGGGTAAATCGGATGACTTTCCCCAGCAGGGGCACAGTCAGCAATAAAATCTGGACTGGGTTTCTAATCCTTTTGTAATCTATCCAAAGCTAAAAAGAAACAGTTCTTTACTTTAAAGTGTGTCTGAGCCAAAAACAAACAAGCTCTTTGTCTGGGCATGAAGGAACAGGAGGTGTGCTATTCACAGGATTACCAGGTGAAAATAAAGGGAAATAGAAAAAAAGCTGCTGGTGGACAGGGATTTTAAACACTATTGGGGGTTTATCAGAACTGGAGAAACCAGAATCTGGAGCGGTTGTACACGGCAACCAGTTGGATTTTCTTCTTTGAAAGTTTAAAATATAACTAAAGGCAAAACCATTTTAAATTTTGGATGGACTGGAGAGGAATTGGAACCCTGTTAAGAAGCTTAAACTATAACTAAAGGTAAACTTTTTTTTTTTTTTTTTTTTTTTTGAACAGTGGAGATGAATTAGAAAACCTGTCAGTTTTTATTGTTGTCTGTGTCCCCATTTTGGAGATTAACCCACTCTAGTTGTCTTGTTTACCATTATCATCAAAAGTGAATGTAAACTAAATCCTAAATTTTGAGTTGCCCTCAGAAAAGTAACAGAGGGAACATTATCCAGTTAGAACACTAGAGACCCGGGAGTCCCCAAGGAATTCCCTTAATTTTCAGCAATTTCCTCTCACTTCCTGTTTTGGGTATGGGACAGGAAGCAAACAGAAATCTCCCCATTGGGACACAGATGGCAAATAAGCTGGCATTGGTTATAATACTCCCTTACTCTATGCAAAATGAAAAAAAGATTGCCTACAGTTCTACTTTCACTCTCTTTACTTTGTTCTGTTTACTGTCATTACAGAAAGTAAAAGTAAGGAAAAAATCCCAACATTTTGAGTTGTCCCTAGAACAGTAATAGAGGAGAAATCTTCCAGTGGGGATACGAGTTCTGGTGAAAAACCAGGGATTCCGTACATATACCTTAAGGTTAGGGGCCCATGGATAGACTATAATGCTCAGACGAACATTGATTGTATCTTAGTTTCCACATGATATACCTCCAGTAGAGGTTGCTGAGGACTACTGGTAGGACCGCTGAACACACACCACACACACCACACACCACACCACACACACACCACACACACACACTTTTCCCAGGCAAGTTTTACCTACCCCCCTGTTTTCTGTTCAGTGCACATCTGCAGTAGTGTCCCATTTCAACATCTGTTGAGTACCAGTGCCCAAAAACTTCTGTCAATGAACCAGTGTCCCATCAACGTGTACCAGTGCCCAAAAACAACTGTCAGTGTGCCAATGTCCCATCAAAATCTGTCACATTGTACCAGTACACAAAACATCTGTCAGTGTACCAGTGTCCTGTCAACATCTGTCAGTGTCTGTAGTGGATTGTCAACATGTGTCCGTAGTGTACCATCAACATCTGTACCAGTGTTCCATCATCATCTGCAATAGTGTCCCATATCAACATGTCGGTGTCCCTAGTGGACCGTCAATGTCTGTTGGTTTCTCTAGTGGACCAACAACTGTGTTTTTAAAAAAAAAAAAATACATTTCTCTCCATGTTTTCCAAAAATGTGTGGCAAAAAATGACATGTTCAAAAGACTCATTCTGCCTCATAGGAAATAGATGAGGGTGTTTGCTTTCCAAAATGTCGTTATTTTGTGGGGTTTTTCATTGTCCTCCTGCTCCAGGGCCTTCAAAAATGTGATGGATATTCAGGAAATTAGATGCGTAATTTATGCTCCTTGAAAGTCCAAAGGTGCTTCTTGGATTTTGGACCTCTCTATGTGGCTAGGCTGTGAAAAAAATCTCTCACGTGGTATGCCCTTACTTGGGAGAAGTAGCAGAATGTAATTTGGGGTGTAATTGCAAGTATGGCTATGCCGTGTGTGAGAAATGGGTTGTTTTTAAAATAACAATTTTGTGGAAAAAAAACACATTTTATTTAATTTTTTTATTTCCAAAGAATTGTGGGTAAAAAATTAAAACTTAAAAAAACTCACCAACCACACGATCAATATTTGGCGCACTAAGAGGAATAAGTCTAGATGTATTATTTGATGGCTAGGAAATAAACCACATAAGTGCTTAGAGTCCAAAGGTGGGTAAGGGATAATCCAAGAATGCTTGACTTCAGAAGAGATTCTGTGTGAACCATAAAAAGAAGAATCATCGCCATCTAAGTGCAGCAATAACAACAAATAATTTATTTTCACAAAATTGGCAATTCACGGAAGTAGTAAAATGAGCACTTGTCAACCGCTGTGCTATTCCAGTCCAGTCCCACTACAGACAGGTCTCCAATGCGCTGTCCTAGGCAGCAGTAGGCATGGGACACATTCAGGTAGTGATGGAGCACGCATGCTCTGAGATAGGCAGATCAATTTTCAGTGATATGTACCATAGCTTGTAGACTCTAGAACTTCCATTCAAACCAGATAATATTGATTTGGGTTATTTTTTTAAAAACAATTAGTAATAATTTTTGGTCAAAATTTATGAAGAAAACTGCAATATTTTATAACACAAAGCTAATACATTTTGGTCTTTTTTTTTTTTTTTTTGTTTAGCAATAAAAAAATGGTGATTAAATACCACCAAAAGAAAGTTCTATTTGTGTGAAACAAATGATAACAATTTCTATTGGGTACAGTGTTGCATGACTGAGTAATTGTCATTCAAAGTGTGAGAATGCTGAAAGTTGAAAATTGGCCAGGGCAGGAAAGGGGTGAAGGTCCCCAGTATTGAGGTAGTTAAAGCAGAACTAAACCCATTCAATTCAACTGCTTCTCAAAATGGTTAAATTCAAGGCTTGCTGTGAATAACTGTCATAAGTAATGATATCAACCAAACTGTCAAGCCATCAACTGGCTACCCCCATAATTGATCACATTTGCAGCACCATGGCAACTGCAAATCAGAGACAAAGAAGGCAGCTTCCTTGGCTGTAAAGGAGGGATTAGTTAGTCATTCAGGCTGCTGTACAGCTGCACAATCACTTCCACAGCCAGCTAATGCTACCAGTTCGCCCCCACCATGTGTCCCAGGCCCTGCTGTTCCATCTGTGGACCTTGGATCGGCATGCATGGTAGAACGGACAGAGACCCCTGAGAAGAAAGCAGATTTATGTCTGAAATCAAGAAAGTTGGCGTGTCTCTGAAATACAGTACATCCACATAAGAAATTTGGCTCGTATCCGTATTTGTATTGTGTATCTCATGGTCTGTTCTTTTCTCTCCCATATCTCAGTCAGTTGGCGGATGAAGACTGGTTCAAGGATGTGGCATGAAGCTCGTAAACACGAGCGGAAGCTTCGGGGGATGATGGTGGATTATAAGAAGCGGGCAGAACGTCGGCGGGAATACTATGAGAAAATTGTAAGTGGTGTGATTGCTTTGCTGTTATGGCCACAATTGAAGGCACTGATACATACTCTTCAAGTATGCTGAATGTGATGTATTGAGTTTTGTATATTTATGAAGTGTGCATGAAGGGGCTCATTTACATGGGCACTTGGCACTCAACTTTATTGCTCAGCCCCATGCAGCAACCAGAGCCATCTGTTTCATTTTCACTACCACTGAACTGCGGGCAGACAGCCCATAGAATATAATAAGCTACATATCAACTGTATGGACTTGCCCACACAGCAGAGTTTGACAGGTGCACCCACAGGCTCTGTTCAGGTCTGTGCACCCATCTCTGCGTACCTATCAAACTCGACTGGATGAGTCCATACAGCTGATGCATACCTAGTCACTTTCTATGGACTGCCTGCACACAGCTCAGCGGTAGAAGAAGCAAAAAAAAAATAGCTCTTGCTGCTGCACTGGGGCTGAATGCCCATGTGAAAGAGACATTGGTAAAAAGCATCTCCATCCAGAAAATCTAACAGTGTGGAGTACGTTACTGAAAAGCAACCTGTCAGCTTGGTATCTAGTAAATTCGCTTTTAAAGGCAGCCTGTACTAGAACAAATATGTAAGCGCCATTGCTGGCTGTTCCTTCAAAGAATGAAAGCTGTGTGTCTTAATGGTTCAAAAGCTACAATTCTTTTTAGAATAGGTATTCAGGTCAGAATGCTGACTAATCTCAGTGCTTGTTTTGAGTCGATGACAAAACATGAATTGAAAAAAAATGAATAACTGGAGAGTCAACCAAGAGATTAATGAGTCCAAAAGTTGTTTATTCCATTAATAGGTTTAAACAGGATCTGTGGCTGCAGCCCGTGCTTTTTTTTTTTAGGTACGGTACATCTAACATTACATACACCGACTGTTAAGTCCACCTATCTGTCATTCTACAAACAAAACAGTATTGAGCCTCTGAAAAGAAATGGCTGCCTCTACAAATTCTGTTTAAATGCTTTTGGAATAAGCAATATATTGTCCTCTTCCAGGACGGCACGCCTGAGAGATGACTAGCTCCACCTGACAGGAAACACAATCAACAATTGACAGGGTTTAAATTCCACGCCTTTCCCTCCACTCCTCTGTTTTGATTGCGTTTCCCTGGCAGCGAAACGTTTGTTGTTTGTGTTTTTGTTTTTTTTTGGTTTTTTTTTTTTGTGTGTGTGTATGGACCTAAGGCTGGGGGCTGGAGGTTCCCCCCTGGGGGGGGGGGGGGGGGGGTAGTAGCCAAGCCAGGGAGGGCAGGCTTTTACTTACTCCAGGGATCCCATTGGTGCGGAGATTTTTTTTGGGCACGGGGTGTCCCGGCGTTCCAGACGGGCACCTTCCTCCCTCTTCCTAGACAGCAGGGAGGCATGTCTGGTGAGGACGGGGCCGTGAGACGCTTCTCGCAGGTATGCTGTTGCCAACCAGCATCACGTGGCATGCTCCTGTAGGGTGAGCGGGGCGGTCACGGTGAAGTCTCACTGGTTTCTCCAGTGACAGCCCAGGGCGCAAGACCGGAAATAGGAGCGGAAAGGCTGCGGTCCAAGCCTTGCTCCCAATATGACTTACAGCGAGGGAGGGACTTCTGGTTAAAGGTGGCAGCACCGGTTGGAATTTTCTCCATATGAAGCTGGTGAGGAGCCTCCAGGAGTTACTCCCTGGAAGTGGGGACCCAGGAGCCCAGCGAAGGCAGCGCAGTTCTGAAGGGCCCTGCAAGATGGAAGACGAAGCAGTGGCTGCAACCAGTGAGAAGACCACGGATGGTGAGTCTAACTCGGCTGATGGGGGGAGAGGAGGGAGGTAGAGACCTGTAGGGTGTGCTTGGGGACCCTTCTGTTATAAGCGTATCTACAAGTTGTCAGGGAAAGGAACCTTGGCAGTTATGAAGGATTTTATGTCGGTGCAAACTGAAATGTTAGCCACCTTACAATCCTACAAGACAGCCCTGACTGCTAGGGAGGTGGATGCACGATCATCTAGGGAAGGATTGTCTTCCCAGGTTGGAGCTTGGACAGGGAAGCAGTGGGGGGGGGGGGGGTTTAGTAACCTCTATCTTCTAATATCCTGGAGTAAGAAGACTTGGGCAGAAGGCAGAGGTTTCTGGCCAAAGCTCCCTGGAAGAAGGGAAACCATTTGGAAGGTGCTAGTTTGGCTGGTGAAGAATCTAGACCGGGTTGACATCTTTTGCTGTGGAAAACATGGAATGGCTCCTAAGGGCTATCTATGCCTCCTGAGGACATTCCAGAACCACCAATGCAGGTCTCAGCCCAAGACCAGATATATAGGGGGTTGGTGAGGCCACAAGCTAGGGCGCTACCCGTACACCAGACTCTCAAAGATCTTGTCTTAAGAGAGTGGAAGGAGCCTGAGATGTCCTAAAATTGAAGACCTGGAAGAGGCAGTACCCCTTTGGGGAAGAAGAGGAGAAATTCCTCAAAGCCCCCATATTGGATGCAGCGTTATCCCAAGTGTCCAAAAAGTCTGACCTGCCCTTTGAGGACTTGGGATAACATCAGAGACCAGATGGACCGTAGGTTGGAGATGTTGCTGTGAGAGCCTGGGATGCCAATGCCGCTACTGTGGCCCAGCCCTGGCATCCACCTGCATCGCTAGAAATGCTGATGCTTTGATACAGAGTGATTGACCACGCCTCGAGGGATACAAAGGGGAAACCCAGTCAGAAGAGGTCTTGGATTCCCTGTAGGTGGTTGGTAAGGCAGTGGCATGCGTGGCAAACGCTGTGGTGGAGAGGGTCAGAACATCGACTAAGACCGCAGCCCTCCTTAACAGCCTGGAGGGCAGTGTGGACTGAAACCTGGGAGGGCAATCAAGAGCCCGTCTCTGGTTTACCATTTGAGAGTTCCTTTTTATTTGGCCCAGGGCTGGACCAGGTGTTATCTAGGTCTGCCAAAAAGGGGAAGAAGCTCCCTACCAAGGCCAAAAAGAATAAGGGGAAAGTTTTTTTTTTTTTTCCCATGCCCCCCCCTTTAATCAAGACCAACATAGGTTAAGGAAAGTCCATATATAATTATTTAAAAAGTGTTGTGTTCACTTAAAATATATAAATTCTGTGCTTCTTAATACACCTTCTGTGTGAATACACTTTAAAATGTGTGCACCCCCATGGGTTGTGCTCTCGCCTCAAGTATATGACCAAACCGTTAAGTGAGGTCATATAAAGCCTGTGTCCCTTTAATTGGACCAAATATGAATAGGATGGTGTCCTGCTGAGTGGGATCCCTTTTGTTCATCAATTGGCTCTCCTCCCACGGTGGACATGTTAAGAGTAACCAGATCATAGTGCTTTATCCTTAAACAACCATTTTATTGATAAATCGTACATTCACATGAACAGAAAGCGCTTTGAAAAAAGTATTTCCTCCTGAATTTATTGAAATCCTGTGTGTAACCAGCTGGTGTCAGTATGGAACCATCGAGTGTTGTAACATCAAAGCCCCTACGCATTCTACCACCGGGTCACATGGCTTCATCAGGGAGAAGTTTAAATTTAGTGCTTTGATACAGCACTTTGGGAACATCCAACTTCTTTTGAAATTACCTTTTTTGAGGCTTTCCCTCCTTATGGAGGGTGTCAATGATGGTTTTCTGCACAACTGTCAGATCAGCAGTCTTTCCCATGATTGTGATTCCTACTGAACCAGACTGAGAGACCATTTAAAGGCTCAGGAACCCTTTGCAGCTGTTATGGCTTAATTATCTGATTAGACTGGGACACTTTGAGTCTAGAATATTACACCTTTTCACAATATTCAAATTTTCTGAGATTGTGGATTTAGGGTTTTCATGAGCTGTAAGCCATAATCATCACAATTATGACAAATCACGGCTTGAACTATCTTGCTTTGCATGTAATGAGTCTCATATATTAGTTTCACCTTTTAAGTTGCATTACTGAAATAAATGAACTTTTGCACGATATTCTAAATTTTCGAGTTTCACCTGTATGTCTTTCCCCCTCTGCCACTGATCCCACAGGTACTCCAGAAACTGACCTGATCAGGCTTCGACTTATCTTGCTGGCCCTGTGGTGGCCAAGAAGAGCCTGGTTCAGCACCTTGAATAGGTGGACTGTGGCTCTCCCACAGTGTCTCCCAGTCAGGTGCAATCTTCTCTTACTGGGGCCAACTCGGCACACCAATCCGGAGTTTTTTCGGCTAACGGCTTGGATTTTGAAAGGGAGATCCTTAGAAAACGGGGGTTTTCAAAGAGAGTGATAGACACTCTTCTCTTCAGTAGGAAACCAGTCACCAGAAAAATATACATGTGGAGGGTGTTTTCCACTTGGTATCAGGAAAAAGGGGTTTTCCTTCCCACGTTTCCGGTGATCCTAGACTTTCTCCAAGCAGGGGTGGATAAAGGTATAGCACTAAGTACCCTAAAGATGCAGGTGGTGGCCTTGTCTGTCTTTTTGGATCAAAGGCTCACATTGGAGCCCCTGGTTAAGAGATTTCTGGGGGCTAGGGAGAGAGTGACACCTGGCTAAGTTGCATAATTTTCCGGCTTGGGATCTGACCTTTGTGTTAGAGGCTTTGACCAAGCCGCCGTTTGAGCCAGTGACACAGATTTTGGTTAAAATTTTGTCAAGTTAGCCTTCCTGTTAGCCATCACAACGGCAAGGATAGGCGACCTGCAGAGCCTGTCCGCCAAGGAACCCTTCCTGATGGTATTAGAAGACAGGGTAGTACTTAAGACAGGACCCTCTTTATTTACCCAAAGTGGCCTCAAGGTTTCATATGACACAGGAGATTGTCCTACCGTCTTTCTGTCAAAACCCTTAGAATGAAGGGGAAAAGAGTTTTCATTTTTTCGATGTCAGGCGGTGTTTACTGACCTATTTGAATAGAGTATGTGACTTCAGGAAGTCATCTTCTAATTTTGTTTAATGGTCCAAGGAAGGGACAGCAGGCATCTAAGCTAACAATAGCTAGATGGATCAGACAAGCCATCTCCTTAGCTTATGAGCAATCAGGAGTTTCAGTACCCTCTCACCTGAAGGCTCACTCCACTAGAGCACTAGCGACCTCTTGAGCGGAGAGGGCCAGAGCATCTATTGAGCATATCTACTGAGCATCCACCTGGACAAGTCAGGACACCTTTGTGAGACACAACAGGGTAGAGTTGTCACCTCAGGACCTGGCGCTTGCAGAAAAGTATTACAGGCAGTAGTCCCGCCCTAAGGTAGGCCTGGGTTCCTTGCTTATTGTCTCAGGTGTGCCGTCCTGGAAGATGACTAGAGAAAAGTACCAGTTACACTTACCGGTAACAGTATTTCTGGGAAATCTTCCAGGACGACAGGTCTATTCCTCACCTGTGTCTGGTGTTGATTATTTGAAGACAGATTGCCTTTCGTGCACCAGGGTGCTGGAATACTCCTATATAACTGAGGAGTGGAGGGAAGGGTGGGGAATTTAAACTGTCAATTGTTTCCTGTCAGGTGCAGCTAGTCATCTCTCAGGTTTGCCGTCCTGGAAGGTTTCCAAGAAATACAGTTACTGGCAAATGTATCTGGTACGTTTGGACTCTAACCTCTTAGAGTGGTGCTCCTGTTCTTCTTCTGTTTTTGCCTCCACCCTGAAGTGGCTCTGGAAGCCCTTCTGTATGTAAGAGATCCCTTTCCAACATTGAAACACTGCACATCACTAACTCTATATAACCTGTGGTGAATTACCCTAGGTTCTAGCATCCTCTCTACACATCTATGACAAAAAGGAATTGAAGTTGGGGGTGACCAGATAGTAAGTATTATAAGAAAGAGGTCAGCAATGGCAGCTTCTGTATATGTCCTGATTCAAGTTTCCATTAACTGCCAACTCCATGGCTGTCTTTTACAGTTATTGAATAATAACACTGTTCAACAAATTTTTATTTTTTGCCAGTTTTTGGAAACAAAAGGATCCATTTCTTAATGAATTTCACATTCTGAGTTCAAATATAACAATGAAATTTGTCAATTGGCTCTAGTTTTTTTGTAAACGGAAAGTTTTCTACTATAGGCGTAATGACTACATAATGCACAATAATTATATAGATAGATGTCTTTCCACAAATATAAAGCAAGTGATATTGACTAAAACAAAGCCTAAATATAATATATTGCATAGGATTACCAAGAAAAATTATAGCCATAAGCTAAGTTGAATCATTTTAATACTTGGATTCTCACTAGTTTTGTCTTCAGTTTGTGTCGGTTTTGCTTCTCTTGGCTTTTCTCTTGTATTCGAGGAAAGGGCTATCTCTTAAACTGCACGTGACTGTTCAGGTTCTTCTCACTTTCAACCACGAAGGATTCTGCTTTAGGAATTGGTAGCCCCTCTCTCTGGAAGTATTGCCGATGGAATATTTGGATAGTGCACAGATAACTTTTTCTTCTTAAGCCCTTTTACATTGGAGGCACATACAAAAGTAACAATTACTAAATGATCTGTTGGCTCTCTCCAAATCATGCACAGCGAAAGGCTTAGATCATTCACCATTGCTCCAGTGCCGTCCCACAAGAATTGCAGCATTATATGTGGTGCCCAGCTCTTGTCCTGGTCTCCTATCTTGCAGCCAAAATACAAGTTGTAGGCTTTCTTAATCATTCCTGTTATCCTCTTTTTTGTGAGATAAAAGTTATTTCACCGCAGATATAGCAGAAATTAATGCTTTATTCACACAAGTTCGAGGCATTACTGAGTAGCCTATATAAGCATAAAACGAAATGTGCTGTCGAACTACAAAGAACTGCAGCTTTTATGCAGTGGGATGCAAGAAAGGTAATATTGCATCATCTCAGTATACATGCAATTTTCTAGTCACCAGGTCATTGCGCAATGGCAGCTTCTGTTGCATCATATGATTCAGTCATTTCCATGGGTGAATATAATAACTAGAGCCAATCAACATTTTTTTGGGTCATTTTCGTTTTCAGCACCCCAAAATTATGTAAGATTAGCTAATTTTATGCCAAAATTTTACCTGTTGAACAGTGTAATGAGAGACCTTACTAATTTTTGACTCTGAAAATAAACATACCTTTTTAATGGTGTTTTTGTGATTTGAAACTTGGATTTTTTTTTTATGTTGGTTTCATGCCTGAACCAATAAAATAGCTTAGTTGTCCACAATGAAGGACATTCATCTATTCAACTGTGTATGCAGAGTCATCATTTTTAAGATGATGTAGAGAAGGTAATGTGCATAGTTACAGTTCTCAGGTGTGAATGGAATCTGTGAGATTAGAAGTATATGAGCTGCCATTAATTTGAAAAAGGTGCAGACTGTGGCCCTGTTATATTGATCCTGCCAGGAGCCAATATGCAGTCTGTGTTGATACTCTGAGCATCGATCCAAGAATAAGAACTTTACATGAATTTTCTGTGCTGCATACATGTATCTGGTCTTTGGCTCAAAGTATTGAAGAGTAATAGCCTAATGACTAGTTTTTGTTAAATATGGAAACTGCCATTACTTACTTTTTCTTTTCAGAAAGGTTTACCTTAAAAAGTCAGCAGTGAAGATATCATATTCTTATTTGGTTCACTTTATGTTGCAAGAGTTGGTAATAGCTGCTCTCCCACAGCAAAGAAAGGTGTTTAAAGTGCTAATTGGTTATAGTTCTGTTTTTTATTGAATCCTCATTTAAAAAACACATCCTCTTTTATTTAAATTTAGAGGTTTTAATACAGTATGCACATTAAAAAAAAAAAAAAAAAAAAAAACATCCTTCTTACAAGTCTGTTATATAATAGCGAACAAAAATTAATGTTCTAGTTTATGTTGTTCTCTTCCACAGAAAAAGGATCCTGCTCAGTTCCTTCAAGTACATGGGAGATCATGTAAGATCCATCTGGATTCTGCTGTGGCTTTGGCAGCAGAGAGCCCCGTTAACATGTGAGCATTTTTACAGCAAAGGGCCTAGTTTTCAAAACAAACTTCAGACAGAATTACAGCCTTTCAATTTAAATATTTTTACTTGCTTTTAAGGATGCCATGGCAAGGCGATCCTAACAACATGATTGACCGCTTTGATGTCCGAGCCCACCTTGACTACATTCCAGAATATAAACCCCCTCTTCTTACAACCATGTGAGTTTCCAGTCTTGTAACTTGTGCAGCACATGTTTATTGCTTTAACTTTTAGCAAGGAGATGGGACTTCTACTTGCTTTTTACTCCAGTGTATTAAATATTTCCCTTGTATTTCTTTCATCAGTTCACCTGAGCAAGATGCTGATGACAGAAAGTGTAATTATGAGCGATATCGAGGCTTGGTTCAGAATGACTTTGCTGGAAGTGAGTATTCTTTCTGGATTTTAGCTTCACGTGGACAAGAACAAAGTCAAGATTTTTTAATGCAAAGTGACACTAAATACAAGAATGTATCATTAATTCACTGGAAAATATCCATCTCTGACCAGTGTACCTTTAAATTAACTCAAAGCTACATAGACTGTGTGTATATAAAGTGATAAAATTTTTTTTTTTATTCTGGTAATCCTCTTCTGCACCTAGCTTGACCCATTGGTTTTGAATTTGAACTTATAAAAATTCAGATCGGGGTGCTGTGATGCACTATCCACACTGTGAGCCCACTGCAGCCATTTCCACTTGGGCATTATATTTATGTTGCTAAACAGAGGGGAACCCAAGTAGGTATACCAACATTCTTGGAATGTCCGTGCCACAGTGGCACTGTTCTTGGAGTTGATGAGAAGTACAGGAATGTAAACTCTCACATGGATTCTGGTGAGAGAACCAGTTATCTTTCTGTACTTGCAGCATTTTTTACAGAGACAAAACATAAGGAATTGTGCATGTATTGCAGCGATAAACTGCAAATGTTTTTTCTTCCCGAGATATACACTTTAACCACTGAACTTGCAGAAGGTTTTACCCCCTTTCATGACCAGGGCATTTTTTTGCTATTTAGCACTGTGCTGCTTTAACTGGCAATTGCTCGGTCATACAGCACTGTACCCAAATTAAATTCATATTTATTTTTTTCACACAAATAGAGCTTTCTTTTGGTGGTATTTAACTACTTTCCAACCGACAATAGTATATATACTTCCTCAGTTGGTAAATGGATACTGTGGTCATGGCTGCAGCAAAGTACCATAACTCCGGTATTGTTTGTTTAGCTGGTGATTCTTTTCTACTAAAAGTGGTCTGAGCTGTGGATTTGCCGCTAGATCACTTTTAGAAGCGGCAGTAGGGGACATTCATCCCAAACTCCAGACCCCCCCCCCCCCCCCCCCCCCCCGTTCCTACCTGCACCGCCATTTGCAGCCTCCGCTGTCAATCACTGGGTCCTGGCTGGTGATTCCCTGCTGGCACCTGGCAATCTCCGAGTATTTCTGAAGGGGGAGAGACCTGTATGCAAACAATACATATCTCCTGTCAGCTCCTGCACACTGCTTTGTATGGCTCTGCATAGCAGCACACGGTTAACCCTCTGATCGCCCCACCTGTTAGCCCCTTCCTGCCCAGTGCCATTAGTACCGTGTCGGTGCTTTTTGTTATCACTGATCACTGTATTGGTGTCACTGGGGATGTCAGTGACAGTCAGTTCCCCCCCAGTGTCAGAATGCCTGCCGCAGTCCCGCTATAAGTTGCTGATCGCTGCCATTACTAGTAAAAAAAATAAATTCCAGTATATATATACCGCCATTTGTAAATGCTATAACATTCACATAAACCAATTAATTTACATCTATTGGGATTTTTTTTTTTTTTTAGCAAAATACTGTAGCAGAATACATTTTGCCCTAAATTTGACAATTTTTTTTTTTTTTTTTCTTTTCAGAATTGTCGGTCTTTTTTTGTGTTTAGCGCAAAAAATAAAAAAAACTGCACAAGCGATCAAATACCACCGAAAGAAAGCTTTGTGGGGGGGAAAAAAGAGGATGTAAATTTTAATTTGGGTGCAGCGTTGCATGACCGCGCAATTGTCAGTTAAAGCAACGCCATAACGCAGAAAATGGCCTGGTCAGGTGGTTTAAAGCACTAGCTCAATGCTTTTTCCCCCCCCCCCCAGATCTTGCCATAAAGAGAACTTCTCACTGCCTAGTTCTATCACAAGGGGTGTTTACATTCTTTGTGATAGGAATAAATGTGATCAAAAAAATTTTGTTCTGCATGCATAGGCCACGCCCACATATGTAAACTGTGTTCAAACCACACATGAGGTGTCGTGAAGTCAGAACAAAGCAATGATTCTAGCACTAGATCTCCTCTTTAACCATTAGCCGCCCGGCCAACGTTTGGCGGCTTGAAAAGCGCTGCAGCTTTCCGGGTGCACGCCATTTGGCGTGCTCCCGCACATGCGCGGTTTGCGCGGTTGCAGAGCGACGCAGCAGTGCGATCTGTCACCGCCCGTGCACCTCGGACACGGCCGATGACAGATCAGAGTACCGGCTCCCGTTGCCGGTACCATGTGACCTGCTGTGACCAATCACAGCAGGTCACATGACAGTTGTATACAATGGATGGCTTTCATGATGCCATCCATTGTATACTAGTGCCTAGCTGTGAATGTCACAGCTAATCACATGCACATGTCATGTGATTAGCTGTGACCAAATCACAGCGAAGCACAAAAAAAAAAAAAAAAAAAAACTGAATGAATCGATTTCATTCAGGTAAATGCTTGCTTATAGCAAAGTAATTCTTTGCCATAAGCAAATTGTGTGATCACTTCCCCAAAGTAGTACAGTGTTACTATGGTAACATTGTACTATTTTGGTCATAGTAAAATATGAAAAAAAATCTTAAAAAAAAATAAAAAATGTAATAAAAAATTAAATATAATAAAAAAAATAAAAAAAATAAAAAAAAAAAAAATATTCATACTGTCACCAGTCATGTCGCTGTTCACCGCCAATATGATGACGCTGTACTGCACTGGTGACAGTATGTAAAAAAAAATAAATAGTGAAAATTTTTTTAATTTTTTCATTCCGAAAAATTATGACAAAAAAATACAACTTCAAAAAACTCGCCATGCCTCTTATGAAGTACGTCGGACTGTCTACTCTGCAAAAAGGGGTCATTTGGGGGATATCTGTTTCTGACATTCTTGGACCTCAAGATATTAGATTGCCTGCAGTACTTCAGGATTGATCTATACCATAGTTTGTGAACTCTAACTTTCCTAAAACTAAAAAATACATCCTAATTTGGGTTATTTTCACCAAAGACATGTAGCAGAATACATCTCGGCCTAAATTTATGAAGAACAATTATTTATTTGTAAACTTTTAAAACCGAAACAAGAAAAATGTGGGGTTTTTTTTTTCAAAATTTTTGGTCTTTTTTTTGTTAATTTAGCAAAAAATAAAAACCCCAGCGGTGATTAAATACCACCAAAAGAAAGCTCTAGTTGTGTGAAGAAAATGAACAAAAATTTAGTTTGGGTACAATGTTGTATGACCGCGCAATTGTCATTTATTCAAAGTGTGAGAGCGCTGAAAACTGGCCTGGGCAGGAAGTGTAAAATTGCACGGTATTGAAACGGTTAAACTGGTAACCTGTAGAAATTGTTAAAGCGTTCGTACTGTAAAATTGCACTCATGGAATGGCGCCAAACTAAAGCATGATATTTGGGTATATATTCAGCGTAACATATTTCATATTTTAAAATATTTTTCTTCGTTACCATTGTAACATTTTGCCCATTAGATAATATTTCACCATAAATGTAGGTCAAAATGTAGTCGGCTACATTTCTTTGGTAAAAATAACTTTAAAGCAGTGTATGTTGTTTAGTATGTGGGTAAATTATAGTCTACAAACCACACACACAAAATGTATGTATATATAAAATGAAAATTCATCAGTTCTGATAACCTGATGGCCTGTCTTATTTCTTGAGGCCCTAAAATGCCAGAAGGGTACAAAAACACCTAAAATTACCTGTTTTTGGAAATTAGATAGTCGAAGGTATTTCGTAAACAAGGCATGGCGAGTTGCTGATTCCATGGTACAGGTAACCAGGTACCATGTGATTGCTGTGGGCCAGTCCTAGTGATCACATGACACCCAGTAATTGTAATCACAGGAGCGGCGCGATGTGTGTCCCTAATCCAGTACATGCTGGATGATGTACATGATTCAGCCTGCCCGTGCTGCCCTGCTGCAGTAATTGTACTTTGGCCAGGCGGCAATCAGTTGGTGTCAACATTAGCAGGTATAGGTAAAACATGTAACCGTAATTGTTGTCTAGATAGGTTGCGTGTAGTATACAAAAGCCTTGCTGCAGAATATGTGCAGCATAGTTATGGTCACAGATATACTGCAAAGCATTTAAAAAGCTGTATCCGTACTAATAATTCTTTTGTTATTTTGTAGTTTCTGAAGAGCAGTGTTTATACCAGATCTATATTGATGAGCTTTATGGTGGTCTACAGAGACCTGGAGAAGATGAAAAGAAAAAGTAAGTTCTTGTTTGATACCTTCAGTTTACTACTGTGGCTAAAACGATGGTACGAATTATATCAAAATGAAGATAATACATTTTAGTCTTAAACGATTTTCTGTAGCATGAAGTATTCACTTGCTTTCCCTATTTACTTTGCATTCTTGTGATGTTAGTAATATAATTTTTTCAGTTTTGTCAGTATTCACAGTGACTAGGGACAACCTGGGATGTTGTTTTAGTGTCATAGTAAACCTCTTTATTAATTTGTTTGCAGGCTATCAGAAAAGAAGGCCACAATCGGTTATACTTATGAAGACAGCACTGTTGCTGAATTAGGGGGATCTCCGGATAAAGGGGATGAGGAGGATTCTGATGATGAGAGTAAATCTGATGAAGATGAAGTAATCCCTGACATAGGTTTGTTTATTGCAGCCTTATGAGAAAAATACACCAAATTCATTTTATTTTCTGTTGATTTTTAACAGGCTACTTGCTAAACACAAACTTATTGAAGAATGCAGCTAGCTGTCTAGATCGAGGGCAGGTTATACCCTTGGTCAAGTAATTATTGCTGTTTGTGGCCTGCAGGAAAGATTTCTGTTTTTATATTGTCACTGGTACAGACCGTGATGGAGAATGCCCAGCAGGGACACATGGCAATAAAGAAAATGTGTTTGTTTTTTTTTTTTTTTGATTTTTTTTTTTCTTCTCCCATGCAAATTGAAGAAAAATGTGTATTACTGTTTGTGTTCCCAACAGAACCACAAGTGGCAGTAAATGTGACAGAGTTGTAATTTCCCCCTGTCCATTCTCTGAGTAAAGGCTTTGGCTGCAATTCCATATTGCTGTCTTGTGGTTTCCTATCTGTTCATATTTGCTCTTAGTGAAATTAAGGCTTTCTCTTGACCTATGTTGCAGGATTAACTTTATGAATATTTTTCAGATGTGGAGGTGGATGTGGATGAGGTCACCGAAGAACAGGTTGCTGATCTGAACAGGCAAGCAACAACTTATGGAATGGCTGAAGGGGATTTTGTCCGGTAAGTAACAATGCAAATTTTTTTTTTTTTTTTTTTTTTTTTTTTTTGAAAGTGTGCCTGAATCACAAAACTCACTGAACACAGTATAAAAAAAAATCCCTTGTTAGGTAAACAGTTTGCACATAGGTGGGTTTTTTTTTTTTCTTTTTTTTTTTTCTTTAACACAAATAGAGCTTTCTTTCGATGGTATTTGATCACCTGTGTGCTTTTCATTTTTGGCGCTATAAACAAAAAAAAGCCAGAAAATTTTGAAGAAAAATAATATTTTTTACTTTCGACTCTAAAAAAAAAAAAAATATATAGTAAACTCCAAAGTTAGTCATAAATTTAGGCCAAAATGTATTCTCCTACATGTTTTATGTTAAAAAAAATCCCCAATAAGTGTATATTGACTGCTTTGTGTGAACGTTCTAGTAGTCTTGGCATCCGGGGGGCTCCACGTAACTATCTTTTCCCCTGTAAATCCGAAACTTATATGTATAGCCTGTTGCCCTATCATAGGTCTTATACATCTTGACCCCATATCTGGCACGCTTGCTGGGGAGAAATTGTGTGACTGCAAGGTGGCCAGAAAAATTAACGAGGGATTCATCAAGGCAGATTTTTTGCTGGGGAGTATAGACATGTGTAAACTTTTTTGGTTAAGTTGATTTACGAGGGGCTGAATTTTGTGTAGCCGTTCAAATTCAGGGTCACCCCGAGGACGACAGTGTATTGTCGTTGAAATGCATAAAACACATTCTCTCATATCTATGCCTGGCCATGGCAGCAGAGAACACGGGCATATGATGAATCGGGTCTGTGAACCAATACAACTGCATTTTTTTTTTTTTCTATTTATTTATGCCAATGTTGGGGGTTAGGCCCCAAAAAATTTAAATTTGGAAACCGTAATGGGTTTCCATGCGAATGGTCTGGCAAAGTTTGAATTTGGGTTGGTGGTGAATAAATTGTTGTGCATATTTATTGCTTTGATCCGCAGTCAATGCATACATTGATACGCTGCACCTAAATTAAATTTACTTCCTATTTTTTTTTTTTCCCCCACAAATAGAGCTTTCTTTCGGTGGTATTTGGTCACCTGTGCGTTTTTTTTTTTTTTTTTTTTTTTTTTTTTTTTTTTTTTTTTTTTTTTTTTTGCGCTATAAAAATAAAAACTGCCAACAATTTTGAGAAAACAAGATTTTTGACTTTTTGCTATAAAACATGTCAAGTAAAAAAATGTAAAAATAATAATTTTGTCATAAATTCAGGCCAAAATGTATTCTGCGACATGACTTTGCTAAAAAAAAATACCAATACGTGTAAATTAATTGGTTTACATGAAAGCTATAGCATTTACAAATGGTATAGATACTGTATTTTTTTTTTTTTTCAATACGAATAATGGCGGTGGTCAGCGACTTATGGCGGGACTGCAGCAGACATTCTGACACTTGGGGGGAACTGACATCCCCGGTGACACCAATACAGAGATCAGTGCTAAAAGAAAAAGCACTGACACTGTACTAATGGCACTGGGGAGGAAGGGGTTAACATTTGGAGGCAAACAAAGGGTTAACTGTGTGATGGGAGTGGTTTACTAGGGGGCGGGGGGGTGTGCGTCACTGTAAGCACACAGATTGGGGTGGCTGTGCTCATTCATCCTGATCAGTGTGCCCAAACTGACGGGGAGGGGAGTAAACAATACAGCCGTAACTTTTTTTTAAAAGTGTAGGCTTGGGGTTGGTCATCTCTGTTTTACTGTATAGTGAGTCAATGGCCTGAAAAAATAATGTAGTTAAATTACAATATCTGACCAGTCCAAGTTGATTTCATGCAGTGAAGCAAACATTAGGATGTTATCCCTATAGCCTGCTTCCATATTTCTCTTGAATATTGCTGATTTTCAAGGGCTTTCTAGACCTCTCTAGTTCCAAACAGGATGGTAAGGTCTGTTAAGAAGGTGTAATTGAAATCTGTGTTTTTTTTTTTTTTTTTTTTTTTTTTGTAGAATGCTACGTAAAGACAAAGAGGAATCTGAAGCAATAAAAACATGCTAAGGCACTGGAAGAAGAGAAGGCCATGTATTCTGTAAGGATTGCACCATACAGCAGCTCGACGTGACATGGTTCATTACAGCAGACTGATATCCTCAGCTAGTAACTTGCTTATCCCTGCCTTGGGGTTTCCCCATCAGATTGTTTACTGTCTACAGATCTTTTGTTTTTATTAGGATTAAACTCCTTGTTCTCATACAGCCGTAAAGTTTTATATATATATATATATACTTACAGGGACGCCGTTCCCGTCGCCAGAGGAGAGAGTTCAGAGAAAAACGACTAAAAGGAAGAAAGATTAGTCCACCAAGGTATGGATGATCAACATGAACTCACCAAAGACATAACTTGTAATTCATTGGGTGATGTGTCAAGCTACCGTGACAGTTTCTACTGATTCAGTAAAAATTAGAAAACTGTGCTGTAGCAAAAAGTAGTGGTCCTGCACTCCCAAACGTGAAGATTTGATATGTTATAGGGAAAATCTAGAGGTGCTGCTTATGACTAAGCATTACCCTGAATATCTAATCTTTGTCTGGATTGCCTTCTGAAAAATAGCAGTGTACTTCGTGGCTGAATATTTACAGCGTAAGATCTCATGCATTTCTAACTGCTAGTTTCAGGAGATTGATGATGTCACTACTTCTCCTTTTTCTGGAGGTTCTGAGAATTCCTGCAGGCCTGTTGTCTTCTTCATGCATACATTTAGAACTATGTAAGGGAAGGTTCCTCTAACTCCGAAAGTAGGCCAATTCGATAACTGTCTGACAGTACATTTATCCTTTTTAAGGGCTGTTTTAGAATAGGTGGTATCTGTAACGTGGCTGACAGGAGGCATCGCAATTAACTTTTTATATGCTTCATGCATTGGCAATCAATCAACCCTTTCTAGGCAAGGTGGTGGCAGCTCAGCTGACATGTGACATAGTACTGGCAATTTGATATCCAAAAAGTCTACAGTTGAAATGTTTGTAAACGCTTCTAATACATTGCAAAGGTGTAAATCAAAAATGGTTTCCAGAGCAACAGAACACTGGCAAAAGGGAGTGGAACTCACTACAGCAGTACCTAGATAAAATACAAATTGAAAACTTGAGCAGGTTTGTAGTGTTTACGTATTAAGAATTCATTATGTAAGGTAAATACAAAAATACATGTACCTTTTTACACAAATCTTCATTTTGAATGGGTGATGTTGACCACCTCCATGTTCCAGGATGGTTTCTTCACAGCCTTACATTGTGATGTTGCTCCTCTCCACATGCACATGCTTGTGTACCTCTCATTTTATATTTATTGTTGAATCCTACAAAACCCTGGCGAACTGAGGCCTTGCGAAGGAAATGATGAAAGATCTTCCCAGATCAGCAAAATTTTTAGTGAGAGTGTTGACACCCAGAATGCATTCTAACAATTTTGTTTTGGGGAGAGTTTATTTTGTTCTTTGATAGCATTCCTCCTAGGTATTAAAACAGTCAGCATATTTTCAGCTTAATGTGTTTAAAATAACTATTTCTATATCTTTCTATTGCCTACACTAGTTACGCCCGGCGAGACAGTCCAACATATGATCCTTATAGAAGGTAAACTGAGTGAACTACATTATGGCATACACATTATTTTGCACATTTGGATTTGGTGATTGTGTGTTTGAACATTCCCCTTTATTTCCTCAGGTCCCAGTCAGAGTCTTCCTCTGGTTCACGTTCTCATACACCAAGCCCCGGACGAGAGGAAGCCATCACTTTCATAACCAGCTTTGGAGGCAGTGAAGATGAGTCGGCATCTGGTCATGCAAACCAAAGTTCTGCAGGAACTGGCAGCAAAAGGGCCCCACATTCACAGGCCTCTGGGACTTCTTCAGGTCGTAAAGAGGCCTCCCGGTCGGTAACTTTAGATTCTCCCCAGCCGTATGTCGTGTGGGGTCGGACTTTACGGGGGAGGGCGGGAGGCCCAGAATCTTCTGCCTTAGAAGGGCCGGAACTCCCCAACCGGTAATTGGAATGGGGCAGTACTTCTTGTATGCGGCCCTGTTGTTTCAATCATTCTCAGTCTTGCCAAAGTTTTTTGAAAAGTATTTATCAATATAAATTCTTGCGACACAATTTAAAACATAGCTGGATAATGCTATGTCCTTCAAAATTCGATTAACTCATCGAAGAACTACTACTGAGAGCATCCCTGTCAGGTTTAAAAAGAAAAAAAGCCAAATCAAAGGCTCCTACAGAGCTTTTATATTCTCTCTGGTGGCCTGTGTCTGCTACCTTCTGTTTGTTCCAGAGTTGTAGCCCTCTGTAAGACTCCTTGGCATGTGACACTTTAGAGAGTTTTGGATGCCTGTGTCTCCTGCTGTGCGTTTTGAACTTCATGCTTCAAACCGTACGTCATTGCTGTCCTGTAATGACACTGGGAGCCAGCGAAAGGAGAGGCAACATTCGGAAAGGGGCACAGTAATCATATAAAACCAAAAGTGTCAAATGCCAGAGGACACCGTCCACAGGAGAGGTTGTTGATATAAAAGCTTTTCTGTTAGTGACCTTTGATCTGGCCCTTCTTATTTTTTTATTTCATTCAGTACTGTTACCGTTGTAATATTGTGTAATGTATGTACTAAATTCCAAAAATGATTGTGGAATTTGTGAAATTTTTTTTGTTTAATTTTGTATTTGCGAAAATGGTAAGTAAAATCATATTTAAATAATAACATACATTTTGGCACAAATGAACTTCATAACCTAGATGTTATGGTTCAGACACAGCAGGCATTGTGGGATGATGTATGTGTGAGGTGCACAGCCAGTAAGTGTCAGGGAATGATCATGGAATGTGTCATCGTTGGCTAAACTTTTGCTTCTGTAGTGATTGTTAGAAGTGCTTAGCAGCAATAACATTCTGCTGTCTACAGTATTTTATACTATTGATATAGGTACAGAGATATCTTATTGTCCCTTTATTTTTCTTCCCTGAAGTCTATTTTTCTTAGTACATTTTTTACCTAAGCTGTAATTAACCACTAAAACTAAATTTTTGCTATTCAGGAATCTTTTTTTTTTTTTTTTGTTTAGAAAAATAAATTTTATTACCCGATCTCCACCCTATAGCATAAATACAGGATTGTGCAAAATCACGTGTGTGTGTGTGTGTGTGTGTGTGTGTGTGTGTGTGTGTGTGTATATATATATATATATATATATATGTGTATATATATATATATATATATATGTGTATGTATATATATATATATATATATATATATATATATATATATATATATATATATATATATATATATATATATATATATATATATATATATGTATTGCATTTCCAGGTAGTGTGCTTACAGTAGAAAGCACGCACACAGTATACTGTGAAACAGCACACAGTTAACCCTTTGATCGACCCACATGTTGACCCTTTCCTGCCCAGTGCCATTAGTACAGTGTCAGTGCTTTTTTATTAGCACTGGGGATGTCAGCGACACCAAGTCAGTTCCCCCCGTGTCATAATGCTCACCGCTGTCTCGCTATAAGTTGCTGATCTGCACCATTACTAGTAAGAAAAAAATAATTCCAGTGTGTGTGTATATACCGCCATTTGTAAACACTATAACTTTTCACGTAAGCCAATTAATATACATATATTGGGATTTTTTTTTTTTTTTTTATTATTATCAAATACATGTAGTAGAATACATTTTGGCCTAAATTAATGACAAAATTTGATTTATTTTTTTTTTTTTTGACATGTTTAATGGCAAAAAGTAAAAAAACAAATATTTTATATATATTTTATTTTTATTTTTTTCCCTCAAACCTGTCAGTCTTTTTTTGTTTTATAGTGCAAAAAATAACCGCACAGGCGATCAAATACCACCAAAAGAAAGCTCTATTTGTGGGGGGAAAAAAGGTTGTACATTTGGGTGCAGCATTGCATGACCATGCAATTCTCAGTTAAAGTAACACAGCGCGGTAATGCAAAAATGGCCTGGTCAGGAGGGGGGTAAATCCTCAGGAGGGCAAGTGGTTAAAAAGCTTCATGCTCCAGTGTCCTTTTAAGCTGATGACTCCAGTAGTAGGCCCTATGTCAGGCTCACTGTAATGATGCCTATAGGTGGGTCACATATTGATATTGTAATGTGTGATACATTCTATTGATGTCTTTCAAGGGTTCTAAATATGATTATGTGAAGGTGGGTATGAAAGATCGATGGCTATTTTAAATGCTCCATTGCGGCACTCATAACTTTTGTGTCCTGCGTGATATAATTTAATGCAATATGATTACCTATGGATGTCCAAATTATGCAGATTGGGCCACTCTATGCCATGTATAGACATCTGGAATGTTTTTTTTTAAAGCTCAACTTTAGCTAAACTTTCTCCCTTTCTGTTTGATAGTGGGACAAGAAATAGTTTTATTTTTTTACTTGTTTGTGTCCCAGTGAGATTCTGCTCACGTTCTAGACCCCGACCACCTCCACCTGTTTTATAACGATATAGAAAAACCTTCCGTTGTGTGACTGCATGCTAGACACCTGTTGCCTTAAGTATAGATGACATGTGGTGTTTCTATAATTTTAAAAGTTCTAAACTGTTATAGTTGTGACATACAGTATGTTTTTCAGCAGGTATTACATTTATTAGGCATTTTACATCATGGGTAATAAATGTGACATAGCATATATGTAATTTTATTTCCTAAAGTGAACATTTCTATTCTGTTATGTAATTATCATGGTAACCTCATAAACTGCTCTTTAAGCTGTTAAAAAAAAACTTACTCTCCCTTACCTAAATTTGTGCAGTCTAATTAAACATCATTACTGATTTGTAAAGTTAGGCTCTTGCCTTTTCTCAGAAGTTTATCATTTTAGTCTCCTGTAAGCCAGGTTTTTGATATGCATAAACAGTGAGTTTGACAGGGCAGCATAGTGCAGGCTGTGATTGACAGCCTGGATTTACCTTCTCTATTCTTTGAGAGGCTGGATGGTAGTGCCCAATGGAGGAATAACTGGGTCTCGGAGCACAAGCTGGAGCAGCATTTTGTTCATAGGTTATGCTGGTGAGTTGTGTAGAAGCTGAATAGTTCATATTTGGCAGTTCTTGCTATAATCGCTGGCAAAGAAAAGGGTTACTTTTTAAGTAATCATAATGTAATTATGTGTAGTCTCTGTGCCTGAGTCTGGAAGCTCTTGACCTAGACTGGTATTGCTTCTGTTCTGGGCTTTGTTTTGCTGTTCTGTGTTTTTAACACATTTTTGTTTTTTTCCCATTTTCTTCCATTTTCAGACGGAGGCCTTCTTCATCTTCATCATCTTCTTCTTCCTCCTCAAGATCCAGAACATCTTCCAGGTCTCGGTCCAGCTCTAAATCTAGAAGAGACAATCGGAGGCGTAGGTCAAATTCACGTTCCCGCTCAAGGCGGTATTCTCGCAGTCCTGTAAGACGATACTCCAGCGGAGGAGGGGCAGAGACAGCAGAAGATATTCCAGATCAAGGTCACCTGACCGCGATAGACATTATGGAGGAAGGCGTCGCTCCCGGTGAATGGCAGATTAGTTATAATTATGCAGTTATTTTGTTTGTAGCCTTGTCCATTGTGTTTTATACATAAAACAGTTAAGTAAATGTAAGCCTATTCTTATTGGCTCCCTTTTTGGTCTGTTAAATATTTCTGTATATTTTGTATCGGTTAAATTAAGAAAAAACTATTTATCCTCCCAGACATCTGTTGAACTTATAAGTTTCCTTGCTTTCTGCCTGTGCTGTCTGTTAGTAATGAGCAGTGTTATCCATTCTCCCTATGAACTACAGAACCACCCCCAACGTAATGGGGAGGGGTAGGTGTTCTCTTTTGCTTATACACATCCTGGCCTAGAGTGACACCACTGCTCCTCCATAAAGTAAGTATTGTTACCCTAGAACAGTAAGTGTGTTCCTTGCTGCATCACCAAGTAAAAATAATGGAGAGAGGGGGAGACCCAAAAAAGAAATGAATGCAGACACCACATCAAAAGACTGATACATTTAAAAAAAATGAAAATTTTGTTCTTTTGGATTAGATACACTGTTAATCTTTGGTTTGTGTGTACTGTAATGTCTGACTGGAACTCATATTGGGTTTTAGAAGTCGCTCTCGGTCAACTGACCGTCATGGGCGTGGTGGAAGGAGCAGTGGGCGCCAACATGGAAGTAACCAAAGTAGTATCTCTAGGAGTCCTTCTCCAAATCGAGAAAAAGTGTCTGGAAAGAAGGTATCCCCAGCTGTGGTGGAGCGCTTGAAAAGGTGAGTTTCCTTTTTTGAATCATAGCACGAAAAACACTTTATCTTGCAACTTGGATTGGAATGGTTTGTACTATGCAGTAAACTAAAATGTCATTGTCTCTGTTTTCCCAGACCTGAGCTTGCTGTTAGCAAAGAGAGCGGAACAGCCAAAGTCAGTAAGAATTTTACCACCTTGTTAATTGACGCAGGATGCAGTTTTGTGTATAGCACGCAGAGCATGTATTGCACAGGCTACGTTATGCTGCACCCCTTTGCAGAGTGGCTTGTTGAGATTTTTGAAGAATGTACTGAGAACTTAGAGCAATGCAGTCTATGCATACTTTGCATTATAACTCACAGCAGTGGTGTTTGGTGAAAATAATGTCTAGTTGAGGTGTTTATTGACATTGAAAATGGTAGACTGGAGCCTATTCACATGTGGGGCGTCTCAAGAGTGCCTTTTACCATTACCTTTATGGGGGGTGTTTAACTTGCCCCCCCCCCCCCCCCCCCCCCCCCCCCCCTTCTTTTTTTTTTTTTTTTTTTTTTTTTTTTTTTTTTTTAAATATGTGTCTCTGTAAATCTAGTTTTGACAGATCCCTAGAAATTCATTTGACAGGCACGCATGCAAATGCAAAATGTACTGTCTAACTGTACTGTACCATTTAAATCTGTGGGATCTGAAAATTATTGTAATGTGAAACTTATTCGCATTATTTAATATGCACAATCATTATGTATTAAATTTGCTTTCTTAATAAAACAATACTATTCTAAGTTTTTTTTTTTTTTTTTTTTTTTTTTAAATATTAACTCCAATCCCTAGTTCCCCTATTTATCTAACAAATGTTTTCTCTGCAGCCAATCTTCATTTCCTTGGACTAAATTTCCACAATACTCTCTGTTGTAAGAGTTGGTCTTTTTTTATTCATGCCTTTACTTTTTTATTAATAGGCCAAGTTAACACCACAGGAGAAGCTAAAACTCCGTATGCAGAAAGCACTTAATAAACAGTGTAAGTACTTACATGTAAACAAAATATATGGTGAGGATGGTTTAAAGTAGGGTATATATTGTGTGTGTGTGTGTGTGTGTGTTTGTTTTTTTTTTTTTTGTTTTTTTTATTGGTGCGTACGACTACCGAAACGTGTGCTCAAGCAATTGCCGATATCGATACCTTTTTGTGGTGCAAAATGAATGGGTTCAAATCGCACTGCAAAGAATCACGTGATTTGAACAGGAAAGTGTTGCGATTCCTTTCTGAATGACGTGGTTTCCTTTCAGGTTTGGTGCGATTTGAGCCATACAAAATGGCTCAAATCGCATTGCAAATTGCACCGCACCCACAGGGAAACCGCATGTGATTTGGACAGGAATCACACCGCATTTCAGCATCAGAAATATAGAAACCTTCCTCACTGCCCAAATTATTATAATATGACAGACCCTCTTCATGCGCCTCTTTTTCCATTTAGCCATACCATACATTTTAGATGTGACCTTACAAGGCTGCAGTGTGTCAGAAGTACCACTTTCAGTCCAACTCTGTGTTAGTAAAACTAAATAATTGTGTATAGTTAATAATTTTAGATTATATTTTTTTTTTGATCAGACAAAGCGGATAAAAAGGCAGCTCAAGAGAAGATCATTCAACAGGAGCATGACCGCCAAGTATGTCGACACTACAACTTTTTTTTTTTTTTTTTTTTTTTTATATAGCAGCCAACTTGATCTGCCAAATACTATATCTGCCCTTTTGAAGCACTACTTCAGTTATAACTTTATTATAATTGTTAAACTAGTGATAGATGATATTCCATTAGATTTCCTGGCTCTATTTTTGTTTCCCTTGGAGTATCATCCCTGCTAAGAATGGTGTTATTAGAGTTCCTTCTGTTGTATAACACAAAATAGAAAATCCAGCAGGGACAGTGGAACTCCTTTTTTCCCCAAGTCGTCTTGCAGGACAGTCCATGAGATATAGGTACCTCCTTCAACAGGAACAGGAAACACATCGCCAAGTACACTTTACAAGGAAGTCCCTCTGCCGAGCTGGTCAGTTTTTGTGTTTCCTCCGGGTGGAGCAAATTTATCATCTGGAACCTGGATGAGAGAGAGAAGCCTATGTTTTTCTGGCTAAACTTTTCTTCCACCTGCAACTTTACCTACCTGGCAGATGGTAGGGTTTTCTGCTAAATTGACCTTCAAAACCACTCTTCAGTATGAAAAGAGGTTCGCTTGGTTCCCTTTCACCTTCTGTGCCGAGCGAAGGCCATGTCTGGAAGTGGCATACCCCCTTGAGAGGGATCCGCACAGGCAGCGTGGGTTCCCTGTCTGGGTACATGCACTGTAGGGCACTTTTCAGCAGGGGCTCATGTGGTAGCTGCGTTTTTTGGTTTGTGGCCTGTCTGTGTTCCTGTTTGACTGGATGATGCAGGGGCATTGATTCTGGTAGGGATAGTTTTATTTCCAGACGCCGGAGGCTCTCTTTCCAAGACTCATTTTTGGCCTAGGGGAAGGGCTGACTGCCTTTTTAATAGCGTTTCCTTCAAGCATGGGCTGTCAGGATGTTATAGAGCTAGTGCTGCATGTTGGATCCTTGAATGCAGACTGCAGCTCAGGCACTCTTTGAACCAGCAGGACACAGGTATGCTGGAGGTTGCTGTACCTACTTGCTTTTACTTTTGTTTTTCCCTAGGTTTTAACCTAGCCTGTAATCTGTCACCTGGGGCCCCTTGAATTTGGGCTTATTGTAGCAGGGCACTGTTTGGGCTCTCCCTATCTAGGATTTCTTAGAGTGAGTTTGAGGGTGCTGACTGAATTCCTCTCTTGGTTGATTGACTGTAGGTAGTGGCTCCTGAGAGAGGAGGAATCTGCCAGTGCTTGTAGCAGTCTCCTTTATTATGAAAAGGGAGTTGTCCTCCACCTTCTTCAAGTGTTTTTTGGTAGATAGTCGTTCCCTGCCCAACCTGACCACTGCCAAGATCCCCTTACTTCAGCTGTAGGGGTTCTTCAGAAGGTGATTCTGGTTGGGGATTTATTGGCTCCACTTTTCCTTCCTAGCTGGATTCATCTATTATGTCCTGCAAAAATGAAAATTCCTCTACCTGAAAGGGAGAGGAATGTTATTTTGTGCGGTGAGTATCCTGACAATTCCCCAGTGGTAGGGGAACGCAGTACATATAATTTTCAGGGGTTAAATGTCCTTAGAGGATATGGTAGGCACTTGATATCTCCTGGCTTCTGAAACCATTAAAGGGCCGAGAGGCACCGGCGCCAAGGCGTTAAAGGATAAGTTCACCTTTTTGGCAAAAATAATAAATGCACATTTTTCCCCTACCGTCTTTCAGGCCAGCACTCTGAGAGACCTCGGCTCCTCCCCATCTGAGGAAACACCTCCACCTACAATAAAAAAGCTCCACTCCCCTCTGACCTCAGTTCAGGTGTTTCCTCCGGTGGGGAGACACGAGGAGGCGCAGGAGGACGATAGGGGAGCCGAGGGCCGGATAGCCGGCTGTGAGGCCCGACGCAGCCGGGAGTGAAGGCCGGAGTGTCCGGCTGCATATCCTCCCAGGGCAGGCTGCCAGCAGTGAGAGTGCATCCCGGGGGACGGGACAGGGCACTTACCTGCTCTTCGCCCCCCGACCCCCTCCGGCGAGGGGGGGTGTCGGGGTGGCCGTGGTGAGGTCTGGGGAGGATCGGGGGGAGTTCCGCTCCTTCCCATGCTGGCGGTCTGAGGGCTTTGCCGGGCCGGACGTCGGGAGACGGCGGTTTCCGGCGGAAGGGGCGGGGCTTCGCCCAGGGCCGCGACTTCCGCTTCCGGTCGCGGCCTTCACACCACGGCGGCGCGAAATTCGAATGTGGCGGTGCGGTGCACAGCGGTCTGGGGGACAGACCTGCACCAGGCGACCACCCTCCGGTACGGGATGTCGGAGGCACCGGGACCAGGAGATGCCAGCACCAGCCAGTCACAGGTAAGGTGCCTCAGTGGAGGCCTCCCCTACCTGTGGGCCCCTAGCAGAAGGTAGGGCAAGGGGTCTGCGGTTTTTCAGGCCCTTGTTGCTCTGCCGGGAAGGGGGGGGGGGGGGGGTGTTTAGTGTCGGACTGATTGGGTTTCCCTCCTCCCCCCTTTTTTCTTTTGTGTCTTGCAGGGCAAGGCCCGAGCTAAACTTAGGCACCAGGAGCCCAAGCGGAGATGCCCTTCCTGTAAGGAAGTTTTAAAAGAATCTTGGCGAAAGGTTCTTTGTGGCCCATGTATACAGGGGTTGGTGAGGGAGGAGAAGCCGGAACAGGGGGACCTAGCTAGGTCAGTGAAGGAGTTGGCTACCACCTTCGACTCCTTCAAGTCCCTCATGGAGAGGTTTGCCCTCCCATTACCTACACTTCCCCCCCCCCCCCCCCAGGTGGCTTCGGTGAGTCGTCGGGAACCCCTTATGACTGGGGAGGAACCAGTGGGGGACTCCCAGTCTGAGGAGGAATCAGCGGGTGAGGGTCCCTCGGAGGAAGGGAGGGGCCCCTCCCGGTATAAGTTGACCCTAGAGGAGGTTGATGAGCTCCTGGGGGCTATATACGAAACCCTGGACATTAAGGAGGAGGTTAAGGCCTTATCTCTCCACGACCAAATGTATCAGGGATTGGAGGAGCACCAGCACAGAATGTTTCCTGTGCATGACATTTTGGTAGACACGATTAAGAAGGAGTGGCAAGACCCGGAAAGGAAACCGTTCTTCTCAAAAGCATTGAGGAGGAGGTTTCCGTTTTCGGAAGACCCGGAGGCGGTCTGGAACAAGAGCCCCAGGCTAGACGCGGCCTTTTCCCAAACAACCAGGAGAACTGACCTAGCGTTTGAGGACATGGGGGTCTTACCGGACTTATTGGACAGAAGGGCAGAGTCTCTCCTTAGGAAGGCCTGGGACTCGACCCTGTACAACCTGAAACCGGCCATGGCTACGACAGTGGTAGCCAGGAACTTAGAGTATTGGCTTACGCAATTACAGGCCCATATTGTGGCAGACTCTCCCAAGGAAAAAATCTTGGCCTCTTTTGAGACCCTTTTGCAAGGAGTGGGGTATATTGCGGATGCTTCCGCAGAGTCGGTGAGATTGGGGGCCAGGTCTGCTGCCCTGACCAATTCAGCCAGAAGGGCGCTGTGGCTAAAGACATGGCAGGGGGACATCACTTCAAAAGTTAGGTTATGCGGCATCCCCCTCACAGGAGACTGTCTGTTCGGCCCGGGGTTGGAGGAATTATTGGACCGGACAGCTGATAGGAAAAAGTCCTTCCCCCTCAAGAGGAAAATGCAGGAGGGGGGGACACGGAAGGCCCGCCCGGCAAAGAGGCTGAGCCTGCGACCGCCTGGTCAGGGTAGGTCGGCTGGACAGAGAGGTAGGGGAAGAGGGGGGGCGATTTTTCGCCCTCCTGAGCAGCCCCAAAAACCAAGGTGACTTGGGTTCCTCCTGTGGGGGGAAGATTGGCGGCATTCCTCCCACAGTGGGAAGCCGTGGTCACCAGCCCCTTCATTTTGGATGTCATCCGAAGGGGTTACCGGTTAGAATTTCTGAGACCGCCACCCGAGACTTTTCTAGTGACGACCCGTCCAAGGGATCCGACGAAGGACGCGGCTCTGGTGGGCGCTTTGGAGATTCTGGAGTCCCAGGGGGTCATCTCCAGGGTTCCGGTAGCGGAGCGAGGGAAGGGAGTTTATTCCCATGTGTTTGTGGTTCAAAAGCCGTCTGGGGCGTTCAGACTGATTTTGAACCTGAAACCCTTGAACAAGTCAGTACGTTACCGGAGGTTCCGCATGGATTCCATTTTTACAATCAGGTCCCTAATCCCACCAGGTGCATTCATGGCATCCATAGACTTGAAGGACGCCTACCTACACGTGCCCGTGGCGGAAGCCTCTCAGAGGTTCCTCAGGTTGGCAGTGGGGGGGGAGGAAGGAATTCGACACTGGCAGTTCAGGGCTCTTCCATTCGGCCTTTCCTCCTCGCCAAGAGTATTCACC